ATAGGTGTAGAAGCGAGGTTAACTTAAATGGACCTTAGTGTATCTGTAATTGGATATAAACTACTCAATAAAATGCACATGCACAAAGCATCTTTCATCCAAAAAAAAAAATAATAATAATAATAATAAAATAATAATAATAATTAAATAATATAATGGAATTAATTATTCTATTACAGTATATATAATAGTAGAAAGCTCATCAGTACTAAAAACATTTGACTCCTTCTATAGCTCTTAAGGCATCAAAATTATTAACAAATTTAATAAAGACTTGAAGAATATATGAAATAACAAATATAATGACCTAATTACCTTTTGTATCAAACTCATGTCAGGAACTCTTCTCACACAAAAAAATCTCCACTAACAATATCTGGATCAATATTCTGTTTTCTACTGTCCATGATGCAAACTCTGCACTAAAAATATATAACATATATTTAAATGTCCAATGGCTTCGAAAGAAGCTAATCAAATCATCAAACAAACAAACCTTATTCTCTACCTCAATGGTGACTCAAAACCGATAAATCACATATGGCAGGTTGTAAAGCTAGCATGTGGTATCACTAATGGTATCTTTTTACTTTTAGACTTTGACAAGTGGATACAAGTATTGACTGAAGCTCTAATGCAATTATATAACACCATATGGAAACCATAATGTGCTATAGCCAACACCTTTCCATAAAATGGTATAAAATGGAAAAACAAATCCTCCAGCAACATAATCAAAGACAATCAAACAACTTCCAAATCAAATTCACAAAAATCACTATCCATATAAGAGCCAATAACAACAATTAACCTACTTACCTTGATTACAGACGCCTATATTCAAAACAATTTCAATCTCTCTAAATGCATTACTAATCTAATCCAAAGCTATTCCAATCTTATTTCTCCCAACACTGAGTAGGTAAACATAGCTGCTTGGTACTGCCTGATAAGATATATTGTTTTAAATTTTATTTTCAATATTAGTCATATGGTTTCTGTAGGTAAGCTAATATTAAACTCATTATATTTACAAATAAGAAATGTTGTTTCTTTTACAATGTATACTTTTAATATACAAATTAAATAAAGAAATGATGTTTACCTATTAAAAAAAAAAAAAAAAAAATTATAATACTTTACAGTATAATATACATTTCTCTTTGCTAGGAAGAGTTACAGTAAATGCAAGACTTTGTAAGTGCAATCAATTTTCTATACTTATTGGTACCATCCAAGAATATAGAAAAAAGAATTTTAAAACCTATATTATGTTTTAAATAATGTTTAGCTACCTAGAAAAAAATAATTATCTAATTATATAAAGGTGTTACAGTCATCATATATAGATTTGCCTTCAAGTTATAATTAGAATTGATATACTTGCTTTTCAAATATAACTTGATATATAGCATGCAAAGTAAATGGTGATTTCATACTATGCTAAACTTAAACTATACCAAAGTAAAACCAGTTTTTTACCATTTGCACTTAATATTGACCCTTCATTTAAATTTATTACTAGAACTAAATACTGAAAGGCGATAATTTTTTTTATTACCAAAACAATTTTAATACAAAATTAATATTTCACCAACTATATCTAGCATTGATTTACTATTTTTGAACCTATTTCTAGAACTATAAGTTAGGAAGTAGCAATTAATTTTACTGTTAAAATAGTTTCGGGAAGTATATTTTGAATTTAGAGTAAGCTGAAATTAGAAAGTGGAAAAGGAGTTTGAATATAAAATAGAGATTTGTTATAGAGGATATTGTATGTATATTGGGATTGGTGTTTCTTAAAAGTGTTAATACTTAATCTTGTATAATGAGCCTACATTGTTAGAGGGATAAGTGAGAAACTTTTGTTATTGTCATTAGCTCGTGTTGCAGGGGTAACTAGAATTTTTAATCTTTACATATTATCCTATTAAGTTTTTTCATTTATCAGCATGACACCTGCAAACTAACTTAGCTCACTATTAGCTGCATTGATATTTGCTACTATATTCCTCTGGATACAGTAAGGCACAACTTCTTGGATACTTTTAAATAATAATAGTTATATACTAATTTCTTAAATGTATCTAGTCTAACCATCAACAAATAAACAATATCAGATTCCGTCCATGCCATCACAGGACAGAATAAATTATTAAGGAGGCATTAGCCCTCCAAAATTAGATAGTTACTTTCTTTTTCCTTGCTCAAAGGTTTTTTACCAGAAACATATCTAATATGGTGGTAGGCTGACATGTATAGCAATGTATCTCACATCTTAATATTAATCATGTAACAAATCTTACTTTATTAATAAAGATCGTGAGAAATGCCTCACTTAACAGTAAAAAAAATAAACAATATCAGATTTGATAATAATGATTATGTCAATCTTTTGAAAAGGTAAATCAACTATTTTTTTTCTGTAAGACTATGGAAAAGAGAAAAATTCTGAAGCCTATATCTTGAAAGAAGTTATTACTTCTAAATATGGTCTTGAAAAAAGAGAGCTAACTGGTCAAAGAAGTAATGTTATTAAAGTAGAGTTTATAAAAGAAAAAGAGACCTAGAAAGAAAATCTTTAGGAAAAAGGAAAAACTTAATTTTAATAAGAAAAAAGAAAAAAGAAAAGAAAGGATTGAAATATATAAAAGAGTATATAGAACAGAAAGATAAAATAGGAAAAGGAAATAAAAAGGTATGAGAAAAGGAAAATAAAAAAGAAAGGAAAAAAGAAAGTGAAAAAAAATAAACAACTCAAAAATTTCTTTAAAAAAAAATTTTCAAGTATAGAAGAGGAAGTAAGAAAGATTTTTTTTTTCTTCTTTAATTTTTTTATTTGTTTAGAATTTTATATTGATATTTATAATTCTTTTTGTTAGAAATAATTTTTTTTCTATTTTTCTATTATTTTATAAATTGATATTAAATTTTATTAACTTTTTTCTTTATTTTTATTGATATACTTTATAATCTATATTATATAAAACTTATCAAAAATATTTACTTATATTTTGTTTTTTTTTTTGAAATTTTTTACAAGTTATTAGATAATTTATTGTCTTTTTGTATTTAAAGTAAAAAAAATATTCAATGGTTATTAATAATTTTTAAATATTATAATTAACTAGATTATTTAAAGTTAATAGTTTATTATATATAAACTTGATTTTAAATATTCCATTTTTTTATTTGTTTAAATAAGATAATTAATAATTCTTTGCTACTATTATTAAGTCAGAAATCTTTTTAATTAATTTTGTTATAATTTATTATTTCTTCTTTTTATTGCTATTAAATTTTATTAAAAGATATTTATTGTACTAAAATTTTTTTTGTTATAGTTTTTGATAAATATTTTGCTTAAAATATCAATAGAAATATTATTTTACTCTAATATTATATTGAAATTATTGATAATAATGTTCTTTATTTGATTTTTAACTTTTCTTTTATTGTTTTAACTAATTGATTGGCTTTATTAGGACTCTTAATAATACCAGTTTGATATTTAAATTTACTATAAAATTATATAAGTAGGTCATAATCCATATATTAAATTTACTATAGATTGGTACATTTTGATACCAGTTTGATACCAATTTGGTACTTTTCAAAACCTTAGACTTGATTGTTTAATATATTTTTGTTATAAATTTAACATTTCAGTTGGATTTTATTTTTTAAAAATTGTGTTCATTAATCTTAATTACAGCTGCCAATTTGATATTTTCATTTGTTTTCTTAATAGTTTCTTGGAATGGAGTTTGTTTAACTTTGTAAAAGTATTAATACAGTTGGCACTATCTGTTTTAATTTCTATACTCTTATTTTTTGATATTGTTAATACTGCCAAGAGAATTGCTAATATAATATAATTAATATATTCTTATACATTTATTTATAATAATATAAATTAAATTTATTAAAAGAACAAAAAATCAACATATAAATTTTAAAATTAAAATTTTCTTTTTCTTAATTACAAAAAAATATAATAAAAAATTTTCATTTTAATTCAATAAATAGTTATCAAAAGTTATTTTATCCAGAGAAAACAATAAATATTTCTTTGGACATTGAGTTCCAATTTCAAGTTTTAATAAATATTTAAATCTAAAGGTTTTAATTTAAATTTGTCACAATATTAGTTTTGTAATTTCTCTTTTCTTTTTTTTTTCCATCCATTGAATGGAAATAAAATCCTTATAAAAAAGATTTTTTTGATCATTAACGAGTGAAAGCTGAATCAACCGGGTTTTATTAACATACTAACTGTAAAATATATCTATGAATAATGTTTACGTTTTAATAATGTAAATTAAATAATAATAAAAAACACATTTTAATGTTTTACAATTATTCACTTTATTTGATTAAATTTTGTTTCAAATATTATATTATTTTTTTTTTATTTTATAAAGTTAATTTAAAATTATCAAAAACATTTCTTTACTTGAAATATCTATTGTTAAATGAAATCTAAGATTTACAAATTCATCAATTGCTGAATATCATTGAACTATTAACATTTAATATATCCATAAATTCAATCATTATGCATAACTTTATAAAACCTTAACCGAGACCTCCCCAAACACCACGAATTCTACGAGCAAGTTGGATGTCTTTTTGCATTATAGTAACTCGTTTTGCATGAATTGCACATAAATTTCTTTTAATAAAAGTGTTAGTAAATGAATGAAAAAAATTAATGAACAAATATTAATCTGATAGTACATACGCATCCTCAAATAAGTGAACGAGATATGCTTCCGCGGCTATGAATAGGTATAAATCTTCATTAATCACTGAAATAATATAGACCATTGACATTCAAATAAATCACCTTCTTGAAGCGCTAGGATTGCAGTGGATTGCCATCTATATCCTATTTCTGAGTTAGGTCCCAGAACTTCAAGCGCAATTTCTCGAACCTATTTGATCAACAATGAACCAAAATTAATCCAAAATAAATATCTCTGCATATATTGAAATTAAGTAACAGGTTACCACTCGTGAAAATGGTAGCTTTCTTAATAAAAGATGAGTGGTTTTTTGATATTGTCGAATTTCACGTAAAGCTACTGTTCCTGGTCTATATCTTCGCGGTTTACTAGGCCTTATGGGGTCACCAGCTATATAAAGATGGATTAACATCGATAAAGAATGTGCGGATGTAATACGTTTCGTCCCAACTAGCAAATGAAATTTAGCCTACGTCTAGTCCTTGGAGTATTGGAACTTGAGGATGCGTCACTACGTCTAGTGACTTTCTTGACTGTTGCCAACCTACGTTTTGATCTTCTAGGGACCTGCTGAGAAGTTCTGGCCATGACTTTTAAAAAAACGTGGAATTACGTGTATCCTCGAATATAAAGTTGACTTTCTCGCGCCTTTATTATAATTGAAGTGAATGAGTGAAATGAAAACTACTTGTTCTATATCTGACCTTTTTATGGAGTGTCGACACGCGTTTTGCGACTTTTTTGTGTAATGTCTCCAATCAGTACGACCTGCTATCTTAGAGTATGTCACACCTTTGTGAAATTCAAAGAACATTATTAAATTTTAAACTAATACATTCATTTTTTTTTCATTTCTATTATCTATAATAAACTCAATAAATTATGACTTGTTGCATTTAATATTATTTATTGCAATGTAAATATTAAATATTTTTATAAATCATGCTTTTTTCAAGTTTTTTACTATTTTATTCTTTAAGTATTTTGACTTTTGTATTATTTTATTTGTAATCTTTTGTTTTTTTTTTATTTTTAAAATATTTTTTTCAAACAAATAGTACTAAATGTATATAACTTTTATTGAGTAATTTATATTCAATTACATATACAGTGGTGGTCGAAAGTATTGCATCACCTGGATGCAAAATTTAAAATGATGATATTTTGTGACACAGAGGTCCCAGTGTTACAAGATTAATAAATTGAGTTTGTCATAACTTAATTTGTTAAATTTTGCAAAAATTCTCACACTGAATAAAAAATTTTCTAAAAATGATGATGTATTTTTTTGACCATTTTAACAAATAAACATCAATATGTAGTGCATCTTGTTTACGTGCTTTAAAACAATATCCCTATCTTATATAAAAAAGATACCTGATGTCATATTCTATCTTCTCAAAACATAAAATTACTAATGATATATTTGTCAGTTGAAAAAAGAGCCCAGGTTTGTGCACTTCTTGAGGAAGGATATCCTTTGCGCCACATAACCTCTTGCAAGAATATTGTCCAATTAACCGTACTAAGAATCAAGTAATGAAAGAATACCACTGATATCTTTAAAAATCAACCAAAACCAAAATGTCCAAGAATTTTAACTGGCTGATATGAGCGAAAAGTGTTATGTTTATTATAACTGGAAAGTATATCAATGCAGTTGCAATTAAAAAAAAGCTGCAAACTGAAGAAAAAATTCATGTTAGTGAAAGTATAATAAAAAGGATCTTATGTTATAATGGGTTGAATACGCGAGTCAAGTGCAAAAAGCTATATCTTCGAAAAAAACATAGACATGTATATATAAAGTTTGTTAAAAAATATAGATTATAAATAGTCGAAGATTGGGGTAAGGTTATTTGGTTTGATGAATCAAAGTTTATGATTTTTGATTCGGATAGCCATAAATATTGCTAGCAGCAATCAGGAGATCTATTAAAAGATTATCATATTAAGCCTATGGTAAAATTCAGAGATATCAATATTATATTATGGGAGTACTTCTCATCTTTTGATGTTGACAATATCTGTCACATTTACAGAAATATGAATGGTGACTTATACTGCCAAATACTTAAGAAGAACCTTCTAGAAACCATTGAGTATTATAAAGTAAGCAGGGATGAGATTGTTTTCCAACAGAATAATGATTCCAAACATATCGCGAAGCTTACAAAGAAGTGGTTTAAGAATTATAGGATTAATGTGCTTAATTGGCTTGCTCAGTCGCTTGATCTGAACCCTATCAAGCATCCTTAGAATGAAATAGATTGTTAGTTAAGAAAACTTAAAATATCTCTTAGAACACAAGATCAGTTGTAGGAAGCCATTAAAAAAATTTGGATTGAGCTAAAAGTTGATATATGTGAAACACTAATTTCTTTCATGCCAATTCGTATTGATGATATAATTAAAGTAAATAGTAGTTATATCAGGTGGTAAACAAGAAATTGTTGAAGTTTTATTGTATTTAGTATACAGATTTTTTTTTTATTGTATAGAAAGTGAAAATAAATAAAATGATTAAATTAAATGCATTATTTATTATTATTATTTTTTTTTTAGCCCCTAATCAGACTGCAAAAGTTATATTTATTCATCCAATTTTGGAATACAGTAGTACAATATATATGATACTATACTAAAGCTAAACTATCTCGTAATTGCAAAACACCTATCAATGAATTTAGATTTGTACGTGATCCTTGAATCCTTAATACCAAGACCACTGTGTTGCCCACATAATTTAGCTATTTACTAACTATTTCACTACAAGGAAGTAGGTATTAAATTAAATGCATTATATAAAAGATCTAAAATAAATATTATTTTTAGTTTTATCTTTTTATTGTATAAAATAAATTACATCATTAAATATATTTAATGTGATAAGTAAAATAAATTATTTTCATAACTATATAACTCCTGTATCACGAATTATTATCATTTTAAATTTTGCATCCAAGTAATACAATACTTTCGACCACCACTATATATACAGTCAATAATACCTGATTTTTATAAAAATAAAATTTCAAATTTATTATTTGATTTATTTAATAAACCTATAAGTTTATAATACAATATTTAATACTTTACAAGTCAGATTAAAGATATTGGTTCAACTTCATATAAACAAAATTAAGATAATATTTGATACTATAACCTGTTACTATATAGTACTTACTAAAATACCTCTAATAAAATATCACTTTTATATAGTATAAAAGTATTATTCAACTCTAAATAAAGATATTTTTAAATAATATTCCTGATACTAATTAAATAAAATATCTACAAAATTCAGTGGGTGTTGAGATTGTGTTCTCTAGAAAAGATATTGTAACACATTGATCATCTGGTCAATGTTATAATGATCACTACTATACTTGATACTTTTCCAGTTTCACATTGGTCATTTCCTCCTCTATAGTCCATGAGACTATAAAAGAAAAACCTGTTGACTTCATTAAACAACTTTGAGATGATCACTTAAAATAGGCCGGAACCTCACAAATATGCTTGGAGATTCAAGACCACTTTATAGGAGTTGTATCCTGCTTGATATTCGTACCTTTAGATTTGGCAGCCTAAGCCAACTAAGAGCCTATGGAATGTCTGCTGGAGAGTTTAAGAGTTACATTTCATTAGGCCTAATGGTTTCCAGGTTTGGTAATTTGTGCCAACCATAGGAACAACTCTTGGAGTATTTACTAGGAAGTGTAAAAAAGTAAGTTCTGTGATATCCGGCATATGTGTCATAGGGTAAAGTAATAGGAGACCCTAGTAATAATTAAACAGGCAAAAAACAAAAAAAGCACTTTGTAGTTTATGCTCAAGTATGAACCTACTTTTATGGTGTTAAGTTGGTACTTGGGTTAGAATAAGAGCAGTGCATCAATTAAACTAGACTATTTATACTATTTATATAATGGTTATTTATAATCTTTAATCTACAATAAAAATTCTCACATGTATCACACTTTAGCTCTTAAAAAAAAAAAAAAATAAAATAAAATATCTACAAAATTATTTAATTTGACAAGCAATTACTAATTTTATTTATTAACCATTTTTTATTTATTATTATATCAATCTCATAAACTAACAATTAAAACTACATGCTCAGGTTTTAGGATAGTATTTCTGGTTGCATTAATTAGGAATTTTTTTATTAAATCCTTTATTTAAACCATCTTATAGATTATTATTATTGCATGATGTGTTAATTTTGCAAAGACCTCGAAATGTGTTATCACAAACTTCTTCTTAACTTGTAACAAATATATTTATTAATTGTTTTCATGATATCAGGATATTGCATAGCTATTACCTGATGCATGTATTTCTCAAGTAATAATAAAGATCATTCTTTTTCTAATCATTTCTTTTCAGCTTTTGTACACATCTTGATTAAGAGAGTATTACTATCAGAATCAACGATCTGTTATATTACCTCAGAGCATCCTCTTATTTGAGCTATTTTTTCCAAAAACTTAATATTCTTTTTTCACTCAATATTTGCTCATTCTTTAGATTTTTGTTGACTTTCATTTCCTCTAATCTTTGTTACGTAACTCAAGTGGTTTTATTGATGTGTCATCTTGCTCCCTTGCTAATATTACTTCTGTTTTGCTAGGTTGATTTTTTGTTCTTTCATCTGTTTTGGTTTTTCCAATATTTATAGTCCTTAGCTGATCTTCCAGCAGTGTTAATGATTTTCTCTGTATACTAACTATTTAGTGAGATCTAAATTATCAAAGTGTAGTTCAGTATTAAGTTCATTATTAATTTTTGTGATGATATAGTCATTCTTTCCATCTATCTCTTCTTGTTCCTTACTGTATGATATAGGTTATTTCTTCATTATTGTATTGTCTTGTTTTTTTGCAACTGCTTTTTTCATTGATTCACATAACTCTTTTAATTCACCTTCACTCTTCTTCTTAATTTCATTGATATTCTTTAGATTTTCTTTAGTCGCCACTAACATTTTTTCCAATTGGAAGATATATGCTACAGGATTTGAGATCTCCAGCTATACTTCATTATTGGAGTTAGGATTACTATTCATCTCTCATGTCACTTTCTCTTTATCATACTCAATCTTTTCTTTTCTCTACTGTCTTATTTCACATGAACTATTTTTATTATTCATATTATAAGATTCTTTACAGCTGATCTCATTAGTCAGTATTTTTTTGATTTCATTATCTGAGATCAGTATCTTTTTTTTTCGCAAATATTAATAATATTTGTTTTCCTAGACAACATTTGTTTTCAATTCAAATACTCATTGGTTTTAGGCTCAATGCAAGCAACAGGTACATTATGTTTCACTTTATTTTTGCTTACTTGTCACCTTGACTCTCAATGTACTCTCTTATTCTTTTTTTCTAAGCCATTTCATCAGTTTCTTATAATAAGTAATTGCCCTCAACTTAATTTATTTTTTTGTTATTCTTCTGTCTTATGTTTTCTAATTCTTTTTACCACTGATACTGTTGCTATTCAAGTATCACATATTATTATTACTTATTGAATAATAAAAAAATATAAATAAAGTCTTCTATTTACCTTAGTTAAAT